TCCCAATTATTATTAACAATTAGCTTCCCAAAATGAGAGTTAACTAATTGGACAATATTAAAAGTGATAAGGCATTTGGATCTTGCCACTGATGGCCTCTCCATTTTATATTTACTACAATACATTGACCTCCACAGCTCCCATACAACAATAGGAGGCATAATCTGGAAAATAAATGCAGCAACATAGTTTATGTATTTATGATTCCAATAGTTAGCAAACAAAGTTCTTAAGGGGATGTTCATATGAGCTATTCCAATCATTCCAGCAAAAATTGCCCACACTTATTGTGCAAACTGCCCCTGACAAAATAATTGTTCACACGTTTCCTCGTCTGGGATCATTCCGGGAGAAGGGCAACAATAACATTTAGAGGCTAAGGAAATCCCAAACCTCATGATCCTTTCATCTGTTGCGATTTTTCCATGGACAACTCTCCAAATCAAGAAAGACATCTTAAATGGGACATCTTTATTCCATAACTTAGAGTCAAACGGAGCAAGATCCTTTCTTTGTCTTAATGCATTCCAAGCAGAGACCACACTGAATTTTCCTGAAGTAGTAATTGTCCAGATTGGAGTATCATCCTCTTCTTGGCCAATTGTGATGTGAACAGAGGCTACCAAAGTCTTAACAACTTCAGGAGGCGGAATATGTAAGTAAGACCAGTCACATACTCCATCCTTATATACTTCATTAACCTTGGTATTGTCATACCCGACATCTTCGCCTAAGCTGGAAGACAAAGGACCAAAATTGGTCCAATTATCATACCAAAATCTGCTATTACCTCTCCCAACTCTCCATAAGATGTTCTACTCTACTTCATATTTCAATTTGCACATAGCCTGCCAATTATGGGATTTGCAAGTTGTCCATTGACTAATTAGTGGATGGTAGATTCTACAATATTTGGATTTGACAAATTGGGACCATAAGGAGTTTGTAGTTCTCAACCTCCACCATTGCTTTGTTGTGAAGGCTTTGCAGATATCCTCCAACTTTCTAAAATTAGCCCATCTATCTTCATATGAAAAACAAAGTTTGGACAATGCGGACTAATGGTATATGTCGCTAGTCTCTTGCCCAGATCAAAATAATCTAGCTAAGTACCTCTCAATTGTAGTGATAGTACATTTGGTTGGATGGACTGCAGCCAATGTATGGACATTCAGGGCCAATAGAACATGCCTGATAAGAATTGCCATGCCTCCAGAAGAATGTATCTTTAAATGCCATCCTTTGATCCTGTTAATCACCTTGCTAACCATCCCTGCAAAGGTAGACAACCTTTTTCTACCAGAATATATAGGACAACCGAGTTAATTGATAGGAAGGGGTTCATGTCTCATCTCTATTATTTTCTCAATCTTGCGAATGGATCTTTGTGTTACAGAAGAAGCTAATGAGAAACTGTATTTAGATTTATTGATCTTCTGCCTAGAAACTTGTTCATTTGTTGCTAATGTCGCTTGGATCAGCTGAAGAGTAGCTTTCCCACCATTGCAAAATAAAATAGTATCATCGGAAAAGGCGAGATGGTTGATTTGTGGACCATGACTACTCATGTAGAAACCTCTGTACCCTATGTGCTTTTGGAGTTCATTCAATAATTGGGATAACAATTCAGCACTCAAAATAAAAAGAGATGGGGAGAGAGGATCGCCTTGTCTAAGCCCTCTCCTAGATTTAAAAAATTCGTGCCTACTCTCATTCACAATTATTGTGTACCAATAATTTGAAATATATCTATGAATAATGTCAATCCATCTCTCAGCAAAATCCAATGTTCTCAACATGAAACAGAAAAATGACTATGATACTCTATCATATGCTTTTGCCATGTCTAATTTCATAACCACATTGCTCCCCTCAACAGGTTTCCCAATATCATTCACAATCTCTTGATCCAACAAAATATTCTCAGTTATGGCTCTACCTTTAACAAATACACTCTGATTATGTGAAATGATTCTAGGCAACAAGGTACTCAATCTATCATTTAAAAGATTAGCAATAATCTTGCTAGACACATTGCACAAACTAATAGGCCTAATGTCTGAGAAGGTTTGAGGGGATTCCACCTTTGGAAGAATTACTAGACACTTGTGAGTGAAAAATCTTGGTAACTGAGCTCCGTCAGAAAAGGCTACTACAGTATTAAACACAGTTTCAGCAATAATAGACCAGGCACTTTGGTAGAACCTGCCAGTAAGACCATCAGGTACAGGTGCACTATCAGCATCCAACATGAAGACACATTTGTTAACCTCCTCCATGGTTGGTATTTCAATGAGGAAAGCATTATCCTCTTCAGTAACAGTTCTCTTCACCACATCCAGCACAGTAATATCTTCAATGGTTATTTCAGCACCAAATAATTGTTGAAAGAATCTGACTGATGCTCCTGCCACCTCTTCTGACCTTCCATAAGATTGTCATTATCATCTATAATCCTTTAGGTGTTTAATTTTTTCCTTCTATCCTTGATTACAGTATGAAAGAAAGATGTTTTATCATCACCCTCTGTCAACCATTTCACTCTTGCCTTCTGCCTAAGAATTGAGTCCTGCAGCTTCAAAAACCTGGTAAATTCCGCTCTTGCTTTAGATAAGTTCATTCTGCATTCAGGAGATGGACCAGAGATCATTGTCTCCTCCAAGCTTCTTATGAGAGCTTCAAGCCTCTTTGTTTCTTCATATATATATCACCAAAAGCTTGTTTGGACCAAGCACTGAGAGTAGAGCACACTTTCTTAAGCTTCTGATGAAAAATGTACAAAGGATTGCCAAAAACTTCTTCTGACCAGGCTTGTTGAATTTTCCCCAAGAACTCCTCATGTTCTACCCATATATTCAGAAATTTAAAATACTTTACAAAATCAGAGTCAGTGCTGGCCGCATATATCAGTAATGGAGCATGGTAAGAGCAAGACCTAGATAGATGGGTGACGACTGTGCTCCCAAATGAATCAAACCATTTTGCATTGTAGACTAGCCTGTCCAACCTCTCCCAAATAGTATTAGGGGGATCCCTGATGTCACTCCAGGTGAACTGTAAGCCACAATATCCAGCATCCTGAAGTCCACAGTCAAACAAACAAGTCAAAAAATCTAAATTGTCTTCAACTCTGAAAGATCTTCCTCCTTTCTTCTCCTCCTCACATGAAACAACATTAAAGTCACTCACCACCCCACATGGACCATTAACCCAACTGGCTAAATCTCTAAGCTCCTCCCATAAGCGACATCTCAAAGTCTCATCACACTTTGCATAAACAGCAGAAATATAAAAGGGTTGAGTACCTACAGAGTTAGAAATCGCAAGAGAACGTGTTGTTCTCTATCCTCCAGAATATCTATCATATAGTCAGAGGACCAAAATATCCAAATCTTGTTGGCATAATTTGAAAAACAAGATTGATATCCCAATATCCTTTTATATTTGTCAATCTTCCTGGCATTCACCATTGGCTCTTGTAGAATTACAAATGGTAATTTGTATTGTTGTATGAGAATTTTGAGTCTTTCACAAGCTCCTTGGGAGCCTATACCTCTAATATTCCATGAGATTGTACTAATCATGAGAAACATCATAGATTAGGCCATTTGTCTCCAATTTGTTGTTTCTTTCACCTCCCTTCAGGAACATTACAGCTCTCCCAATATTTGAGCTTATTACCCCTATAGGAGATAAATTGTTGAAATAGGTAATACTTTTGCGCACTTGGTTAGCACAATTACTACTATCTTCAAGTATTTGCTTGCTCCGCCTTTGTTGTTCATCATCTGATTTGGAGTTATCCAATTCTTCTGAGAGAGCGTCCATATCAACATCATTAAAGTTCATGTTTAGATAGTTAGCTCGAATATCTTCCTCACCATTGTTGGAACAAGGATTAGTGATATTGGTGCTGCCCCTTCTAGGATCTGCATGTTCACCATTTTGAGTGAGTTGCTCATAGTCATCATTCTGAGAGTTAACCAAACATTGAACACTAGGAGCATCATGAAATGTTGGTTCACCATCTAAGGCTTCCTTCTCTTTCTCCTTCTCCTTAGCCTTCTTTGCAGTAATCCTAGCTGAAAGCTCAAGATCCAAGCGAAACATTTTACCTAGGCTTACCATCTCGTAGTTAGTTTCCTCCTCGTCCATCAACCTAATCTCATCTGGGATGCTTATAGTGGTGGCAAAACGTTTCTTCTTTTTTTGAATCACACTCATCTCCTCTTGGTTGACTTGAAGCACATATTCCTGCATAATTTGACAGTGGTCTTCTGTGGTAGGGAGAACAGTCTCCTTCCTTTGCTTCACTTTCCCAATAGTTCTCTGAATCTCCTTGAATAAAGGCTTCACTATTTTTTTTTCTAGAGGTCCTTTCTTTGTCTAGTCTGGTAGTCTTTCGGTGTTGTGAAAGCTTTTGTCCAGTTACCATGCTCCCATTGATTGTAACATCCATGCTAATTTGCTTCCCACTATCATTGTGATTGACAGTAATGACATTTTGACCATTATTTCTTCTGAAATATTAAGATCCTCCATTCGATTTAGAATTTTGGATCAGGTTAAATTCTTTTGCACTTTTATTGGAGGCTTCATTCCTTCTGTTGTTTAAGTCTTTTCCCTTTCTTCTTGCAACTTCCTGCCAGCCTTCATCCCCGGTAAACTTTTCTCTGCCTTCTCCTACAGTGACAACTCGAATCTCCTGATCGATTGGGTTCCCAGGTACAGTTGGAGGCACTAGTTGGCTTTTTGGCGTATCCACCTACATTGGTGTATGTTCCTTTTTTTGTTGGATTTGCTGGCCAGACCCTGAATCCCAAATAGGTTCCTGTCTCCTTTTCGAGGCTTATCTTAGGTTTCTGCTCTCTTCCTCAATTCAGGATGTTGGACCCTGCATCTATCATCATTATGACCCCTAACTTTACAACGAAAGCAATAAGCAGGAAAGGTATCATACTCCACTTTCTGCACAATCGCTTCCAGGCTACCATCCTTCTTCCTTATTTCAACTAATACCTCGTTAATCATAGGCTTAGCTAGGTCAATCTCAACCCTAACTTTTGCAGTAGTAAGCCTCGTCTTTGAGAGGGTGGCCTTATCCATGATTAGAGGCATTCCCACTGGTTCTAAAATCCTGCACAAAGCAGCTCGTTCATAGTAATGCCAGGGTAAATCTGGAAGGTTAATCCAGATAGGGGCCAAGGTTGTTTCAACACCGCTTTAAACTTCTTAGTCCATTTCTGAATTTTCATTATATGATCCCCAAATTGCAAGAAAGGTCTGGCATATACATCCATATAATCATCCCTGTTGTCGAAATCAATGAACATGTGCTGCATATCTTTAGCTCCAATACGAATTTTTCCTCTTCCAGGAAAGATCCTTGCAAACTCATCTCTAATGAATTCGATTGAAGGTCTTGTTCGGAGGAATTTACCAACAATGGTCCCTTTGCAGGTAGCAGCGAGAAGCTCGTTCTCTTCCTCTGTGAATACTACAACTGATTTTCCTTGAACGAGCTCATATGGCCTCGGTACAAGTCGTATTTGACTTCGAGTCTCTGAAGGTTGGTTTCGAAGTGCATCTACATATGAGTCTTCTTGTTAAGCTACTAATTGAGAAGCACTAGAAGTAGAGGGAACTCTCGTTTGGATCTGTTCTGAGACTAACGAGTCATCCTTTTTTGCACCTTTCTGCTGCAGATCTTGTGGCCCATGGTTCAGATCTCCCTGAGTTTGGGGTATTAATAGATTTTGTGGAATCTGATTGGGACCTAACGGGGTTGGATTTGGCTGATTTGTTGCTGTTTGAGTTGGAAAGTGGGAAACTTTGGTATGAAGTGGGAGGCGGGACCATCTCCCACGTGAATTTGGTTGGTAGCCGTATAATTTATTACAGGATTAGGTAAAAGTGGTGGGTCATTGGGGTTAACCAGATCCACGGTGGTAGACATTTGAAGGCTTGTACCTGAGAAGATGTTAGAGTTCATAATCTTGCGATTAGTTCTCCCTGCACCATTCTTTTGTTGTCATTTCTGATGTAAGTTTGAGGTTAGGTTTGGTAGCTTACTGCAAACAATATTATTATGGTTTCTGCTATTGGAAATGATGGACCACTTTATGGTACTCTTAACAATCCTGCAGATCAAAGTGATGTTATTGGTGTTGGTGCCATTGATCAAAGTAATCATTTAGCCTCATTTTTTTCACGTGGAATGAGTACCTGGGAGATTCCTCATGGGTATCCTGTCTTTCTCCTTTCTTTGCTTTGTATTACTCTTTATACAGAGTACTATTCCTTTATTTTTTTTGCCCTCTCCTTCTCTGTATTGAAGTTGTGTTCTATTATATGACCACGTAGGAAGTCAATGAGTGTGTTGGATGTACCAGCTTCATTTAAAAAGGATGCCTTTAAAAATCAGCTCTTCTGAAACAAACGAGCATTCTATGAGCTTTATTCTATCCATGGTTGTGATGTTTCGAGTAAAATTCTGCTGAGTGGAAATGATGGGTGAAAATGGCAAAAACTTTGTGGATGAATAGGAGCATGACATCTGTTGAATGCCTCTTGTACGATCCACTCAGCTTCTAAGGAAAAAAGAAAACGAAGAAAGATGAATAACAATAACAACAACTCAGTATAATCTCACTAGTGGAGTCTGGGGAGGGTAGTGTGTACGCAGACCTTACCCCTACCCTGGGTAGAGAGGCTGTTTCCAATAGACGCTCGGCATCCTTCCCTCCAATAACTCACACCTTGCTCTTGGGTGACTCAAACTCACAACCTCTTGGTTGGAAGTGGATGGCGTTTACCATTAGATCAATTAAGGGCGTTTACTAAGAAAGATGAATCGTAAACATGAAATAGATAAAAGTCACAATTAAGTTCTTTGCTTCTTCTTTTCTTGAAAAAGAATAAGTTCAAAATTATGGTTCTTTGCTTCATTTTTTTTTCTTTCTTTTTGTTTGAACATTTTAGGATCTTGCTTTATAATAACAGTTAAATAATTACACTTGTCTATCAAACCATAGATTCTTAACCATACTGTGCCTTGACAGTTATGGTCGTGTAAAGCCAGACATTGTTGCATATGGGCATGAGATTATGGGATCCAAAATCAGCACAGGTTGTAAAAGATTATCTGGCACAAGTGTGGCGAGTCCTGTTGTTGCTGGCATAGTATGTCTCCTTGTTAGTATCATACCTGAGAGCAAGCGAAAGGACATTCTAAATCCAGCTAGTGTCAAACAAGTGCTGGTTGAGGGGGCCGCTAAGCTTTCTGGTCCCAACTTATATGAGCAGGGTGCTGGCAGGGTTAATATGGCTACCTTTGGGATTGCATTTGGTGATAAAATTCTAAATGGTGATTTTGTCCTTGTTGAGGTTTTTGTTTTTAAGATGAAATAGTCTTAAAATGAGGGTGAATGGGAAACGGAGGGAAAATGAAATTTTTGAGTAAAATTTTAAGTTTACCCCTCTTGACAATGAGACATTGTCCCATATTGGAAGAGGAAAAGATTTTTGGTGGGTATATATATAATTGCTCTTCTTGTAGCTCTTAAAGAGTTAAGAAGAAAGCAAGTCTCGCGCCGTCGTCGTCGTCGCTCGGCTAGGGCTAGGGCTAGGGCTAGGATTTGATTAATTTTTTGGACCAAATCCGCATTTGTAACGGATATTTTCCAATCCGTGTATTGACCACAAGGCAGCCGCCTAATGCTCTTCCCACCATAAACGTGTATTGTAACGGATATTTTCCAATCCGTGGATGATTGTTCTTCTTCAACACTGGCTTTGAAGTTCCCAAGCGGTGGATACTTGCACCGCTTCCCCTTCCTGGATAGATCAGAGAGCAGGGCCACTCAGAGCATGACTAAGGTGAGCTAAGAAGACTGTTCATAATAAGTTTTTCCTAACCTATCCCTCACCTTTAGGTTCATAGAAGCCACAAGATTCATTAGTAAGAATTAGATGACACTGTCAAAACTTCTCTCTTTTAGCTTATCCCTGAACTGATATTGAGTATCTCTTTGAGGCTGTAGTGTTTTAGGGTACTCTAATCCAATGCTGAACCACTTTGAAGTGAGTTAGCTTTCCGTAAGCGTGTGTATGTAATTTTCTATTGTCTTTTTTTTTTCCATTTTAAACCAGATTAAACACAATGTCTTACAGTTAGTCCAACCCCCTTCCGCTACTGTCTGCCTCTCTAAGTTGTGTTCTAGAAATCGACTTTATTTCATAAAGCGTTGATAATTGTACTGCTATTTTGGTGGGTAACTGAAGGGAAGTATGCTTATCGTTATGACAGAGAATTGTACGTCAATCTTCAATATCTTAAACAAATAATTGTCTGTTGTTGCTTGCTTTAAATTGCACAAAAGGACACTGGGAAAAATATACATTATCCAATGAAGATTATGCCAATAATATTAGCATTCCTATCAATTTTCTAGGCAGTAGTTGAGCTGCCTATCTAACTCAATATACTTTATGAATGCAGATAGTTTCACCTATTCTTGGTCTTTTGGAGGTTGGTGGGGGTCGAGTTGTAGTATATGGGGACTCAAACTGTTTGGACGGCAGCCATATGGTTACCGATTGTTATTGGCTTCTGAAGAAAATATTAGATTTTACTAGCAGAAATAAAAAAGATCCTGTACTTTTCTCAGATTCAGTTAGACAAACTAGACCATTATATGTTGATAAGAACAAGCTACCATCGCGTAGAACAGATGTGAATTTTTCTATGTATTCTAGTGTTGTCGGAAAGGAATTGATCTGCGGGCGTGACTCAAGATTTGAAATATGGGGAACTGAGGGTTACAATTTATTAGGCCAGCGGAAAGAACCGCAGATTGCCCGCCTATCCTGTCAATGACTTGGGTGGAGGTCTAAATTCTACTGTTGAAACACCGGTTTGGTTAATATCTAATTCAGCTCAGAAGAATGGTGACGATCTCTTGAGAACAAGTACTGGGGTTCATTCTATAAGGATGATGTAAGAACTTTTAGTAGTCACTAGTCATTTGTTTATGAAACCTTTTTTAAACAGATATAATAGCTTGTTTCATTTTCCTGAACTGCAGATTGACATGCCTCTTCTGGTTGCTAGTCACTGGTTTGTGCCGGCTACTGTTGCCATAATTGGTCAGTGCTACATTTCTAGTTTTCTATATTTGATGAATGAACACAGTTCTCTTATTCAGTCATTATTCTTATGAAACTTTTGCCAATACTGTTAGGTCTATTCCTCTTATTTTGGCGCATGCAAAAGCGCGGGAGGAGGAAAAGATCTAGCTCAGCTCGTTCTACTAATTTATAGCCCTAATTTGACAAGGATTGTATTTTTAATTTGCTCTGGCAGGTTTTGTAATATGATTTAACGTGACATGTATTGACAATACAAGTTAACTAAATATAGCAGATTGTTATAGGTCAAAAAACTTTATACATTATCATTGCATATAACATGAGCTTTTTCTGATGTTAGATATTCAACATTCTTCACTTATTAGATCAATTCCTAGGTAATGTTGTAGTCATGTGCTTTGGGAGGAGATAAATGGACTTATATTATAAGATGCAGTAGTGAATCACCAAATATTTTATAGTCTACCTCTCTTATTGGAAAAATGATAATAAGTTTGGGCGTGTAAATTTTTTTTTTTTTTTTGAATTATTGGAAAGCTTTTCAAGAAACTTGCTTGATTATAATTTGCCAGAATCTTTATTTATTTATTTTGAATCTTTCTAGATGAAGAAGTGTTTTGAGAAAAAACGTCGCACCAAAAGATTAATTTGCACTCACAAATCACTTAAAACATCACAAAAATAACACTATCCGACACATCCTTTAACAAACTTTTTTTTAAAAAAAAATCTCCAAAAATTATCCAGACGGCTTATGCCCAAAATAGAGCAGACGGGCTTCATTTGCACGAATATTGCTCTCGGCGCAATATCAGAGTTTTTTTTATATTTTTTATTTTATTGAAAATATCAGTGTCAGCTTGTGAATTTCTATTTTCTCCTGCTGGCTTGTTAGGAGGAAATAATCAATTTATTGCTTATGAATTGTACATGTGACGCAACTTTAAGTAATTTTAAGCTGACCCGGCCTTTTGCATTACTTGAATGAGTCAATTACTTAAATGGTTACTCAACTATCCCAAATTATTTGCTAAAGTCGTTTTTTCTTTTTCTTTTTTTTTGTAACAACAAAGTAACTTAACTATGCCTATAGCACTCAGAAGGTCACTCAACTAGATTTTCTAAATTTTGGATTGTCAAATACCTATTTTACCCTCTAAATTATAAACATTTATCTTCTTTTTATTTTTTTTAACTTTTTAATATTATGATTTTTCCCTTTTTAATTTATATTATAGACTTACCTATATAATAAATAAATTTTATTTATAAAATAAAAAAATAAAAAGTATTTAAGCATATATAATGCTGGAATAAAAAAATAATGAGCATAGTAAAAAATTTAATTAGAATAATTTGTTCGTAATAATTAGTATTAACAACAAAAATTAAAAAATATATTTACACAATTGAGAATGAAAGAAAATAAAGGTTGTAAAATATATATTCCATGCACGTAATGTAAAAATAACTATTTAAATAAAGGTATTTTTATAATATACATTATATATGGTTGAAATTTATACTTATATTATTATTCCGTCATTATATGAGCTGAAAACTAATTTTTTATTTTTTATTTTATAAATAAAATATATTTTTCTATAGGTAAGTCCAAAATGTAGATTAAAAAGAGAAAAAATTTATAATATTTAAAAAGTTAAAAAAATGATAATTTAGAGGGTACAATAGGTATTTGACAATCAAAAATTTGGAAAATCTAGTTGATTGACCTTCTGAGTGTTATATGCATAGTTAAGTGATTTTGTTGTTACAAACGAAAGAAAAATGACTTTAGCAGATAATTTGGGATAACTGAATGACCATTTGAATAATGATCTCTTACTTGTATCTGCCAAACTTGTATCTGCCAATTTGAAATGCAATGAAAGTTCCCTTTCAATCCTTAGTCACTTTTTAGTTCTTGAAAATACTAAAAATAAAGCGGATTGTTATAGGTCAAAAAACTTTAGTCCTTGAAATTTAACAGTCATATAGAAAGATTCAAAAAAAAAAGATCTGTTAAAATTATAATCAAGCAAGTTTCTTGAAAACAAAGTTGTGCTCTGCATTCTCGGTTGAAACTAAAGGTGACAGGGGGCGGGCCGAATTGAAGAAAAATATGACCGGACGGTCATCAATTCGGGTCGGTACTGTTTTTTTTTTCAACCGGGTCCGGGTTCGGGCCCATCCGGTCATTTAATGAACCGGAAGGGTTACGGGCCAAATGGGCCAGGCCGGGTCAGTTTTTTTATTTTGGTATTTTGTATAACTATCGTAATTTATATTAAGATAAAGTAAAAATATAAAACAAAAAAATAATCTTATAAAAAGAGTGTTTGAATAAATGATGCAAAGGCTTTAAAATCCTTATATTTGAATATTTCATTAAGAATTTAAGATAATAGATGAAGATGGAAAAAAATTGCACTTATAATTTGCAAGTTCCTTTTTTATTTCAAACTTGCAAATTAAAGGTTACATTCAAAGGTTTTGCATTGCCTTAATAAGTTCTTCATAATCAATATAAACTTCTTGGCCATCTTCTGGAGTGTTAAATTTAGATAGGTGACCATATGTTAATATATCTTCAAGTTCCTCGTAGATCTTCTGGTTTATCAACATCTTCACGCCCCTGATTTCTTCGTCCCGATCTAATCCAATCTCTGAAAAATACTAAAACTTCCAAAGCATTGCTTCCCAATGAGTGATGGGTGTCTCCTAATTGTTGTCTTGCTTGACTAAATGCACTCTCTGATGCAACAGTTGAAATTGTCACATTCAGCACGTCCCGAGCCATAGCAGAAAGAACAGAAAATTGCTAAATTAGTAATTACTAAAAGTGTTATTTTTAAAAAAAAATTACCCAAAAAGGGCTATTCTTGCAAAATATCCGTTGGAACGATCAAATTGGAAGCTGACCGTTGCCAGCGGAAAATGAATTTTAAAAAAAAAAAATCAAAAAATAGCCGTTGAACCGGTCCGGTTAACCGGTTCAACAGTGATTTTCCTTGATCGGTCCGGTTAACCGGTAAGAAAAATGTAAACTTCCCAACCCCTTACCCCTCCNAACCCGACCCGTTTAACAGGTTTAGTTGAAACTCAAGAAGATACTCTTTAAGCTAACAAGGGAACAAAAAGGTATGACTAAAAAAAGGCAACTGGGTGCACTAAACTTTCACTGTGCGCAATGTCCAGGAAAGGGTGTATTGAACGCAGTTTTACTCTGTATTTCTGCAAGAGGTTGTTTTCATGGCTGGAACCCGTAACCTTCTTGTCACATGGCAATAACTTTACTAGTTACGTGAAGGCTCCCTTTCAGAAGGAGGAGTGACGTAGGGGTCCAATTACCATTTGTCAAATAATTAATAGCCTCACATAACTAATCATACTTGTGTGAGTCACTAAGTAAAATTTCTCAGAAACTTAGGATTGTTGACTCAAACTCTCTTTATGGCGGAAATGATACATTTGGCAATCAAACAGCACCTTCAGACAAGTATGAGTAATTGTATTTCACATAAAGTAAGGTTTCTCAGTTATACGAGGTACAATCTTTCACATAATTTCCAATTCTTTGTTAAATTGAGATTTGTCTGGGGAAAAAAAGTAAAATAGAGATTTCAGCTTCCTCCACTTCTCTCTTCATCGAGGGTTAATTCATTCATGGTCATTCAACTTATCATTTATTTCACAAAAGTTATTTAACTATTTTTCATTACTTAAAAGTCACTCAACTTTAACTTTATAACTTAAAAGTCATTCTAATTCAAAACCTACAAAATATCCAATAAAAATATGACATGACATTAAATTTAATTAAAAAATCTAAAAATAATGTCACATAAGCTTAAATATACCATATCTAAGTTAGATTCATTTTTTCTTCAGCCCGATTTGACCCATAACCCAAATGAGTTTTAATATTTTGACAATTAGAAGGAAAAGAAAAGAACAATTATTTTGTGCTAAAAATATCTTACTTAATTTGTTACGTAATAACCTTAATACCATCACCTATAATTTCATTAAAAATATGAACAGAACTAGCACAGAACCAGTTTTTGCATCCTTTATATCATTTTATAATTTTTCATGAAGTTAAAATACTACCATATCAATCTCACATAACAATTAAATGTATCACTAACAGACAAGAACACCAAGCTAATAAGAACTTATTTTCACAAATTATTATTCCACTAAAGTCAAAATATTGCTTATTAAGCAATACTAACAGACAAAAATATTGTTCAGTAAGAAACACCGACAATGAAATTGCATAGTAAAAATTGCCGGTACACACCACAATCGTAGACAACCTATAACGATAATTTGGATAAAAGAAAAAGACAATGTATTGTGTTTGACCGTAAATATACTACCAAAACCTAAAGATAAATTCAAAAGACCTAATTTTTCTTAAATTTCTTAGACTTCTTTTTCTACAAATTAACCACAAAATCAAAGTGCTAGTCTAGTTAATTGTTCAAATATTAATAATTCATTTTGATTATAGGTCAAATCGGGTTGAAGAAAAAATGAGTCTAACTTAGATATGATTTATTTAAGCTTATGTGGCATTATTGCTAGATTTTTTAATTAAATATAATGTTATGTCATATTTTTTATTAAATATTTTGTAGGTTATGAACTAAAATGACTTTTAAGTTGTAAAGGTTAGTAACGAAAAATAGTTAAATGACATAAATGATAAGTTAACCGCTTCACTTCTGGAGAAGAACTTGTGATTTTGTAAGAAGTTTTTCGGAGTATTTTGATGTGCTTCTCCACTAAAGATCCACAGTTTAGCTTAAACTCCCTGCTCTTAATTCTGGAGAATGAAAAAAACCAGTCTGAAGGTATAGGAAAAAACTGATCACATTCCTTTTCCCTTTTAAAGTAGAATAATATATTGGGTAGAAAATATTTGTTTATGTCTTTAGGTGTTTGAGGAATGCTTTCAAAGGAGAAGGTATTGGCATATCTGCTATTTCATAATTGAGTAAATATTGGAAAATGAATCGAAAGAGAAGCACAAGATTGACTTGGATATGGTAAAGTTTCTTTCTTTATGTTTTTCTTCTGTTGGATAATTGCACTTTTGGTTCCTCCGTGATTGATAAATTCTGATTCGATAATTGAATAGTTTAGCACTTAATAATTCGTTAAATTTAATGCACATATGAACTAATTAAAGGTTAAATTGTGCTTAATCAAAAATCATAAAGACTAAAAGTGCTAATTTTCCTTTATTTCGTATTTTTCACAGGAAAATTTATTTATGGTGATGATCTAATATGGGCAGTGACAACTTTAGGAGTTTGAAGATTACATTGATCAAGGCCTACTTCACAGGTACAGTATTGTGTCCTCGCGTTTCTAATTCATTACTGCATCAGCTTATTACATCAACTTGTGTTGTATAGCTTGGATGACTAATTCATATTGCGTATAACTTGGATGACTAAACATAACGAACGAAACAAGACTTGTACTTATTTATTTTGAATCTGGTGAGTTGCAGAAGACTTGGAAGGAAAAAGAATGGATCTATTTATAACTGCTAGAACAAAAACATTTAAAAGTTACAGTTGTTACAGAATAGATCTATTTACAATTGCTAAATCTATTTACAACTTGAATATAACACATATTTGCAAATAACTAGTCAGTTTGCTCAACTCAAATATTGAACAACAGATGACTGACTACTCTGATCTTTTGATCTTTTGTTTGTTAAAGTCTTAAAGCTGCCTTGGATTTCCTAAGTCTTCTTTCTTCTGAAAGCAACTTCGCGAACCTGGCAAAGAATGGTTATGTAAGCTCATTTATTCCAACTAGTAAGTATTACTTTTACTATCTAAGATAGTGTATTCAGAAGATTAATTTGAATTACCTTTTCAGACTTTCTTCATTTGAGCCACCATTTTGACATGGTTCAAGTAGACCTGTGTGCGAATTTATCCTTGAAACTGGTTTCTTCAGCAAGTTCTTCCCAATTTCAACTAATTTGTCCATGTTATCCTTTGTTGATATGTCAACAGAGGAGTTTGTCCGAGATAACGTGTCATCCTATCATTATGATAAAAAAAAAAATCCATGTTACCTTGGGTGATTTTAAAGTCCCCTGCCCTACTTTTTCTTATAGTAAATTGCATATATGTACCTGAATACGAAGGTAATTATTTTCAGAATGAAGCGCTTGGAGGAGAGCAGACAAGGGCAAATTAACCATATCGTCACTGGCTTGAGTAAGAACATCCACAATTGGAGAAGAACCACCATTGAGCAGCCATCTGCAGAGACCCCATTTGATTGCTGTTGTGGCATTGTATTTCGGCTTCACCTTTGGTGAGCCAGTACCTAATGAGATTACTAAGAACCGACCACAATCCATTGAGAAATCTGGATCTCCAAGGAAAATTTGTTTGGTTACTTGGCTTGTAGCGACGAGGACCTACAAGTGAAGACTTAAATCAATATGTATGAAAAAGAGAGGAAATGACAGATATTTGGAAAGATAGAATAAATGTATTTACTGGATTGTTGGCTGCTACTCCACCATCTACAAGATTGAATTCTTGAACATGTCCATCTTTGTCTTGGTTCTTGAAATAATGTGCAGGAAGATAAGTTGGAGCAGCAGATGTGCTGATGCAAATATCAGATAACCGAGCATCCATTAATGGATCTTCTTTGGCCTGCAAGATGTAAGAAATATGTTAGTTTTTATGTCGAGTAAATAAGTCATAGAATGGAAAAAAGGATATATGTATGTTATTAGCTAGAGTACGAACCTCAAATGTAGAGAAGACTATTGGTTGCAAATTCTTGATATCAAAAGTTGGAACAATAATATTGGTTAACGTTTTACACAATCGAGTTTGGCCTAGCTTCTCTTGTATAACTTTGTGAAGATATTTCCCATTATACTTTGGTCTAACCAGAGATTTCAACATCTTCTTTATTGATCCAAGCAATCCCCTGATAAATAAAAAGCAACTTCAATCATTAGCGCTATGATATAAACACTAATTGATAGAAATATTACTGCTAATTTACAAAGTGATTTTACCTTCCGTATGGAAAAATCTTAGGGCCCTGTTCAAGATAGAACGGAATGATATCTTTAGCAGCAAAAAGAGGACGTCCCTCTTTGTTTGGTGCAGTTAACATTGCAGTTACCAAACCACCTGTGCTCGTTCCTGCGATTACATCGAAGTAATCTGCGACCCTTGCTTCTTTACCATCCAATTCCTATCATCCAAATGTGGAACTTGTAAATTTATGTGTAAAAGCAACATGTATGGAGGGTGGTCAACATAACATTGGGCTCAACATCGGCTAAATCTCTAAATATCTCTTTCATGTTCCTTAATATCAAATACAAAATATACAATTTAAACTCTAGTATAAAATGTCTCCAAAATTATTTAAAAAATATAATAATTCCAAAATCTTGGAACTTCTTCGACTAATCTTATTTACAAATTACAATCATCTCATTTCTGAATGTCATGCAATGAAGCAAAGTTGAAAATCCAATTTGGGCGAGACCATGTTATATTCACTGATGATGACTACCATAAACGATAGTTTTGAAATGATTATTTTGGAGAATCGTAGAAAAATCATAAATGTCTGAGAATAATGAATCAATCCGTTTACTGTAAAAGCACTTTTGAAAATGATAGTTTTTTTAAAAATTGGTGAAAATCATTTACACCCACGACTTGCTCTATAAATTAACTTTCCAACTTTGAAGAAAAAACATTCTCTTCCTCCTTTCCTATGTAATGTCTATTTTGCTCTCACCACTTAGAATCTTCCCTTTGCAATTATACCGAGTACTTGACTTTGGATTGATTGAATAACGTTTAAGTTTGAAAAGATAAACAACCAAATTGATTAGATATCATTTGTAATTACATGAATTTTTTTAAATAATTATATGAAGTAGCTTTTATTTTGTGAGGTACAAATATATATTTTGTCGTATCTGATCAAGTAATATTTGTTTCTTATAGACAACGTTCTTGTCTTCTTGATGTATCTGATCAAGTAATATTTGTTTCTTATAGACAACGTTCTTGTCTTCTTGATGTATGTTCCCGCTACGCTCTAAGCGGGCGTTTTGATAGTGCTCCACCCCGGTGCGAGCCCGAAGGCAAATTCATAGTGCTCCACCCCGGTGCGAGCCCGAAGGCAAATTCATAGTGCTCCACCCCGGTGCGAGCCCGAAGGCAAATTCATAGTGCTCCACCCCGATGCGAGCCCGAAGGCAAATTCATAGTGCTCCACCCCGGTGCGAGCCCGAAGGCAAATTCATAGTGCTCCACCCCGATGCGAGCCCGAAGGCAAATTCCAAGAAAGCCTTTTTAAAAAACTGCTAAATACTATGGGCCTAACACTTCAGTCTTCATTGATTTTGTAGATACACTCAACGCTGAAAAAGAAATAATAGCTTAGTATTACCTATTCTCTTGTCATATTACCAGAGTTCTCTTTCCTTTAAGCAATTATCTCTAACCATAGGAGCCAATCTTGATTCCAACTACAACATAGGAACTTACATTTTTTACAACCGAGAAACTTTTAGGCGAACACTAGAAAAATCAGCTAATCTTTATCCAGTCATACGTGAGCATACCAGAAAGAATAGATGGAACAACACCTAAGCTCTATAAACATAAGCACCGCAGGTATCACATTAATAATTGTCATGTTACTGTTGGTCCTTAAATAGCACAAAAGCAACAGACACCAGATGCGTTTAGTGTCCAATAACCACTTTCAAACGAACACCAGTATGAGAAGCTGAACATATCAAAATGATAAATCAGACATGCGATGTTGAAGAGCAATTCATTACAAGGGCTATTCCACAAAATACTTAATACCACATCTGTCAAAAATAACACTCCAACTAAAACAAAACTTGACAACAAAATGTGGTCAGGAAATATATGTGCAAGTAACAACTTAGGTGACTTGAGCATGTAATTTCCCTCCCACTTAATCTCTTTCATAGTTTGAACAATCAAAGCTGAAAAACCCAAAATAGTTTCTAGCATGATTTCAAAACAAAAAAGTCCTTCACTGTGTAACGCCAAGCCACTTTGTGAAGTTCTCGAACTCTGTGTAATCAGAATCTGAAATCATTGTCTTGAACCAAGATGTGCCTGCTGCCCTGATAGCTGATGCCTCCTCCTGTGGAACAAGAAAAACAAGAAAATTGAGTTAACATAGTGCACAATCAAACTCAGGTTTCACAGTGAAATACAGCATTACTAAAATACTATTAACCAAAAATGGGGGAACTCTAAGGCTGAGCTTGGATTAGAAAATGGTTTGACTTTAGGGAATTAGCTGCGGGTTTTGGTGAAAATAATATGAAACCAACTAAAAGTTTGAATGCTACGAACTGTATTAATATTAATTTGATCGTGGAGAAAAAAATATGGCAGTGACAGGAAAAACCGAATATGTGCAATTTTCAGCTCTATTGGATCACAGTTAAGCAGAGTATTTTTTTTTATATCAACAGAACTCTTGTTTTTCTTGAACAAAAGCAATATTCATTTAAAAAATATGTGCAGTATGTCTAGTCAGTATTAGTCTTACTATTTTCACCCAAATAGATGACCCAAAAAATGTAGGACATTAGTGATACTTCCAACAATCTCGAAACAATTCCAGACATTCTCAGTTGTTTTTCGAAAAACAAAAACAAGAAATTATAAAACAAAAAAAACTGTTGTCTAATACAAAAACAAATTAAATACAAATGGCAAAATAGATGCGTCCCGTCCATTCGACACTTTATATTTAGCTTCCACTAACATAATAATGATGAAGATGATAGGGATTATCACTAGAATTGAGGAAACTTTTGCCAAGAACTAGAAGTCGGTGTTAAATTTTTTAGAACAGAAAATAACACGCCACAATCTACAGGTCAGGTGTTAAACTAAATTTGGGAAGTAACATAATATCATAACATCCCATCTCTATTAAGAAAAGCTAAAATTTAAATCCAACAGTATCATGCCCTTCAGGCTATCCTTTTCTTAGCACTATGATCTAAACATTGTTTTGCACACTAACCCACCAAGATCAGAGAAAAATAGGATCCATATCATCCCTACATCATTACACATCTCAGTTCCTCAACAAAACTTATTAGCTCGCCTTATCAGGGGTAAACAACATTTAGTTATTCGAGAGGGAATCACAGAACAATCAACTGAAGCAATCAGATTGCAATTAAAGTCAAACAACACAACACATAGTAAATTACAGCAATTGCAAAAACGACCACAAAAGTTTCTATAAATGAGTACTAGCAGCAATGCAAACTCCGCAAAAACCCAAACTGAGTGTTCTGTGCATAGTAGACTCAACAAATTATAATGACAAACAAGAAACAAACAACAGAATCATCTCTAGGAAAACAATCTAAACCAAACCAGGATACTAGATCATCAAAGAAAATTGTGCATACATAAGTACGTTCTATTCTATGAGGTCTGCTAAGATTAAATCAATTTTAGCTTAAAGACAATAGTTCTGTATTAACGTAAATAAATTAGCAATTTTTTTCTTATAATATCACAAAAGAGATTAAACTAGTAAACTAAAACATGAAGTTAAACTAACAACAAGAGCTAATCCAAGTCTCAACAAGTTGGGATCGGTTATATTAATCCTCAATGGCCATGTTACCCAATATACGCTCATTTCAGGCCAATATTATAAAACTACACAAAATCTCAGGATATGTACAGCAGTGTCTACAGCTATATACAAAATTTTAGAAGAATATACCTTAGTGACTTGATGCCTCTTCTTGTCGAGCTTCTCTTTCTTAGCCTTAACACGTTGAGCCTCAGCCAAAAGAGACATTCTCCTTGCAGTCTTTGCATATGGGTTAAGCTTCAGCAGCACATTCAGGTTCTTAAGTGGGTTCTTCTTCAATGTCGCCCTCTTATTAACATCCTTCTTGATTGGCCTCACAACGGACTGCACCTCATCAGAATTAATAATCCTAGCCAGATCAGCATTCGCCATTTTCGGCCTAGGCAACACGTATCCCTTCTTCTTCTCAGACGCCTTATCAAATGAACCATAAATCCCATCCAATTTCTCATAAGCCGATTTAGTCCACACAATAAACCTTCCTAAATGACCTCCAGGAGCAAGCTTCAGTAAATTCAATCGATCGACATGGCAAATTTCGACTCCAGGAATATTACGGAACGCTTTTACTAGCTTAGCACCTTCAGTTCCGTACACAATCAGTGGACCTTTACGGGAAATGTACCTACGGTTACGCATTTTACCTTTACCTGGACGAATCGCGTGACTGTCCTTAGCTTTCTCAGCATCAGGATAAGCACCGATTTGTTTTAAAGCTTTGATAGCATTAGATGTCTTTTCAATACTCTCAACTGAATCCGAAACAACGAGAGGGAGCTCGGGAACTGATTCAATACGATGACCACGCGCGAGGACAAGCGAAGGAACTGCAGACGCAGCAATAGCTGAAGCTACAGCATAACGCTTTTGGTTAACGGGGATCTTACGGTGCCAACGGCGCCAGATTTTGGTCGGAGCGAACATGCGACCACCACGACACATGTTACCGAAAGCAGCTTGCCCAGCACGGTGGGTTCCACCACCGGCGACACGAGGGATACGTGAAACAGCACGTCCAGTACCCCATGACTCAGCGGAGGTTTGGTGACCGGCTTTTTTCGAAACGGCGTAAGGTTGACGGGCGTTTTTGGAAATGTTGGAGTGGACGTAGGTTACGACGTCGGGTCGGATCGGAGCTTTCATGACGGCGGGTAGAGGAACGGCGCCGTCAGTGGCCATGTCATTTTCGAAGGATTGAACGGTGGTGGTGGGAATGGCCGCAGCTGTTGCCATTGGTAATGGCGGGGGTTAAGGGGAAGGGGAATGGCTGCTAGGGTTTTTTAAGAGTAGATGAACAGAGTGGCGACTTTGAAAGAGAGCTAGGTTTTCGTCCGTGTATGAATATAAGTAGCACAGAGGAGCAGAAGGGTTAGAAAATGGGCCGGACTTAAATCCATTTTTGGGGCTTAAACCCATGGATCCATTTTCCTTGCAATTTCTTTGTCTAAGAATTTACCCAAATAGCCGTCCACCCGACCACTTAAATTAAAATTGTCGATAAATGTATAATATATAGAATAATTCATACATAATATGTAATATAATCAATGTATAATCTATGCATGCCGACTATAAAAATTAAACGATAAATCTGG